TCATTCATTATGACAAAGAAGCAGATTTTGCATAAAATATCTTCTATTTGACTCTTAATTAATGTGTTTGAACTTGGGTAACTATAACTGTTAAAAGACTGTGAATGCCCCAATTTCGATACGCTCACTATTATTAGAATAAAACTTTTCAGTGACTTGGAAGCATACAATTTGTAGTATGTGCCAAGCGTATGCTAGTAGGTCACTATAGTTTCATGTAAAAGGTCAAATGAGCAAGCTATCAACCCTGCATTATAAAATGTTTTATTACACGGGCCATTTCACCAACAATGTTTTCCAGGGTCAATTTCAGACCATTTTTGGCCGTCATCTTGGATGTTCGACTCTCCGGGAGTTAGCCAGTAAGTTTTGAGGGGTAGAAAACGACAAATATCTTCACTGGGGTCCCTTCTCTCAGAAATCATCGTCAAACCTTGTTTCCTGAGAAATGGTCACAGACTACTAGGAAGGGGTAATACAATACACATCAGCGTAAAATACATGTATAAAAACTATAGAGAAACCTGTTCTAATTAATAAAAGGAACATTTGAATTTTATCTTTAGGGTGTCCATGCACCATACGTTTACATTGGAATGTCGGAAACGATCTTGCATACCAGGACCAAAACACTTCGAAGGTTATCAAAAATACATCAATTGAAATCTCTTCGATTTAGTTTCACAACAATTGCAATACACCATGAAAGTAGTTGTCAGAAAACAATTGAATAGTTTTATGTTTGGACTCCAGTCTGCAGGCAGCGTTGATTTACTGGAATCCCAATCTGGGAAAAGCGACGTTAATCTGCTACCGGGAAAGCCGTATCTGACGACCTGATCAAAAGAGTGGAAATATTTTATGAGTTTTCATGAATTTCACATGAACATAGACACGGATAACACCGGTGGATAGATTGTTCATTATAGCTCACGGAATATAAATGCCGTATTGGTAAATGTTACCGGGGAAAGGCTTGGCAGGCTTCGTGACGCGAAGGAAGAGCGTGTGGAATTGGTCTGGGAACATGAATATAATCAACAGGCACTCAGAATACCTGGCCTGGCCAGTTAACAAGTTCATAATAAACATTACACACAATTTCCTATAGGGATCTCTATTCTCAGTTACCCAGCAACATCAATTGAATTTAAACTTTTGTTACATATGTCAAAAAAGTGATCCTGACAAAATTTATTACTAACTTACCGCTAGGTTAGCTGACTTTCTAATGGGAAATTTCTCGACAAGGGAAGATACTAGACGCAATTTTTTGACATCTATATGATCGTATTGATCCAATCTACATGTCCACTGGAATCTAATATAATGTTAAACGAATGATAAATATAACTCACTTCAAAACAATAAGGCTAATAATACAGTTTTTGCCAAAATTACTTTATTTCTGGTTATAATGAAAATGTTAAATTAATTCTATGAAATCATAAATGGCATCAGGCATCACATGGTGAAAATTTTATGATAATCGAATAATAATTGACTCTTATATAGACCAAAACCTTGAAAAATGACTTGAAGAATATGATCTATTTCTCTGCAAACGAACAAGTTAGAAACCATTTTGTGATATCTGTTTGGTCGTATGGGTTCATTCTATTTGTTAATTGGAATCAAATATCATAATTTTAAAAACATTAAAAATCAGACTCATTTGAATAAAATATCTGTTTTATGGGCTAAAAATACAGTTTTTGCCCAAATGACGTCATTTTCAGTGACAGTGAAAATGTTAAATTGGATTGACCTAGTCAAAAGTGGCATGAGGCATCAAATGGTAAAAAAAATTGAAAATCGAACGATAATTGACTCTTTTACTTGGAAAATAACGTGAAAAGTGACGCATGCAAAATTGCCTATTTCTCGGCAACTGTGCATATTACAAACTAATTTTGACATACATTGGCCTCGTATGGATTAATGCTACAAAATTATGAAAGTTGCGTAGAAATAATTTAAAATATGAAGACGATGAATGGGTTGTAAATAGCTGATTTTTACTCATTTTTTTCACACTTAAATCAAATTGGCGCAAATACAAAATCGATATAAAAAAAACCCCAAAAAATTAAGCCCAACATATTTTGCGCCTGTAGTAGGAGCATTCATCTTCATTGATAAGATTTGTAGAAATTAATATTTTTCCTTAGGAAAACCCTAATGACCCGTCAAAATTTAAGTTTTAAGCAAAATTACGTCAATCCGGGACCGACAGAAAACTTTATTTGTAGAAACGACTTAAGTATTTGCACAAAGGAGTATATGAGCTTTTGTTTTATACAAATCAGGCAATAAATAATTAATTTAGAACTCATAAACTGTAATAAAAATGCGAAAAGTCTTAAAAAGTGATCCTGACGAAATTGGTTATTTCTTGGCAAGGGAAGATGCTAGAAGCTATTTTTTTGACATATTTATGATCGTATTGGTCCAATCTATATTTCCATGGGAATGAAATATCATAATGTTAAACAAATACTAAATATAACTCGCTTCCAAAAATTTGTTTTGAAGGCAAAAAATACAGTTTTTGCTAAAGTGACATTACTTCAGGTGAGAATGAAAATGTTAAATTAGTTTTATGAAATCAGAAATGGCATAAGGCATCACATGGCGAAAATTTTATGAAAATCGAATAATAATTGACAATGTTATTGACCAAAAACCTTGAAAAGTGACTAGTAGAAAATCGTCTATTTCTCTGCAACCTTACAAGTTAGAACCCATTCTGTGGTATCTGTATGGTCGTATGGGTTCATTCTATTTGTTGATTGAAATTAAATATACTTTTCAACAAATAACATATACGACTCATTTGAAAAAAATATCGGTTTTGAAGGCTAAAAATCCAGTTTTTGCCTAAATGACGTCACTTTCGGTGACAGTAAAGGTGTTAAAATGGTTTAACCTCGTCAAACGTGTCATTAGGCATCAAATAGTGAAAGAAAATTGAAAATTGAATAATAATTGATTTTGTAAAGGCAAAATAACGCGAAGTGTGACTCATGAAAAATTGCCTATTTCTCGGCAACTGCTGATATTACAAATTAATTTTGACATACATTCTCTTTGTATAGGTTATTGCTAAGAGGTTATGAAAGTTACAATGAAATATTTTGAAATATGAAGACAGTGGATGGGTTGTAAATATCTTATTTTTATACCTTTTTTCGCCTTTTAATCTAAATGGCCCGAAAACGAAATCGAAATTAAAAAAAAACCGATCCCGATGTTTTGTGCGCCTTTACAGGGCGTACCCTTTCAGTTAAATCATATTTGCAAATGATATTTGCTTTCAAAAAGTTGTACCGAACTGTCAAAATCTGTCAAAATTGTAGTTTTTGCTGATTTTACGTCACTTCCGGTGCCGACAGGAATCTTTACCGGTAACAAAAAAAATTACATTTTGGACCACGCAGCATATGAACTTTCTTTTGTACAAATCGAATAATAAATAATTAATCCAGGACTGCAAAAATGAATTAGCCAATGGCGGCCAAGGAAAATTACTGACACACAAAATGTTGACATTTTTAGTCAAATCGGATAATTCTTCAACCCTGGGTAAAATGCCATATAAAAATATTCATAAATAAAAAAGTTTTTTGTAAAATTTTAAATTTTCGAAATTTGGCACTTAATATCTACGAAGATTCGTCGACAATCAAAAATCAAAAGTAGCACAGCTATGTGCCTGGTCTCCGGCTATGTCAAAATGCATCATATGTTAAAATTCGATGATTATTGTTAATACTACGGCATTTTTTAAAAAAACGACAACTTCGGTGATTTCGGACATTTCGCAATGTCACAGAATGCCCAAAATAGCTTTAATCTCTAAGTCATACCCACTTTCTCAATGAAACCGAAGAAATCGTATCGATCCGACATGTAGTTTCTGAGATACAGTCAAATTGGAAAGTTTTAATTTGCAACAAGTAAAAATTCAATAGATCGCTTTAACATTTCACAATTTAAAGATTTTTTTGTTTACCTCATTAATTCATTTAGTTTGAGACCGAATGCAGTGAGAACATGTTTTGAGTGGTTATAATGTACGCCAACATATGTCCACAAGTCCAGGTGGGGCTATCCGTTAAAAGTCTCAGAAACTTATGTATCTTAATTTACCATGTATTATCTGGGTTTCTGGTCGTGTTTACTGAAATAATGAGAAGTAATTTGAATTTTGTAGTTGAGTTTCAATTTGTTCCGTTTATCTTTATATGTTCATGGTCTTAAGCCTAGGTCACACTTTCCAGGTATTGGCCACGGTTTACCCATGTCCTCTCCCGTCTTCCAAGGTTTACCAACCCGGGCAAGCCGGGCCATTTTGACGAAAAAGACGGTAGTCCACGGCTAGACTACGGTGCCACTACGGTGCCACTACGGTGCAGACACACGTGCTTTCGGTAGTGCTACAGTTATTACCACGGTTTACATCGATTGTTTATGTTCTTACACCAAGGTCACACACCCACGGTTATTAGCCACGGTAGATCCATAATCCTCTACGGTTTAATATCGTTTGCCAAGGTTGCGCTCCGATCTTCAAAGGTGGCAGTACGGTCGCCCCCGATGTTTCCACCGGTAGAATATACAAAGTACAAGTCACACACCTTCTTGGCATTTGCGTTACCGTGGGGATTAGCGTCACGCATTACGAGACCATTGTGAAACCGGAGCGATCCGTGACGAACCGTGTTCAATTGAACTATACTGCTTTTCCATCAAAATGGCCACGGAAAAGCGGTTGTTGGCGGTTCGACACGGTGGTTTTAAACATCCATGTTCGGTTGAATTTTTCTGCTTTCATACCAAAATGGACCCATTTCGTCCCCACCCCCTCCACGCAGCGCCACCCGGGGTCAAATACCCGGAAGGTGTGAATGGGACTGTATTTGGCTTCGCATTCTATCATTTTGTCTCTACAGTTTAATCATTGCTTATATGATACATATCTTTATTATGTTTTTCAGGCATAGGAAGGAAAATTAACGTTAAAAACAAAAGAAAACAAAAGAAAACAAAAAAGTAGAAATTAAAACATTTTATTTCTTGCATTTGTTATTGATTTCAACCCAACGGGCAAAAATGCTTTTGTCATAACCATGTCATTCGTCAGTCCACATTTTTATACGCCAACAATTTTTATCCGATTTCAATGAAACTTGAAGTATAGGTTTATAACCCCAAGCTCTCGGTTCCTTTCGATATGCAGGCCACTATTAAATTTCACCATCTCGGTACCTACGAATTGTAGTTCGTCTATTTATAGCAATTCTCTCTCTCTTTTCTCCCCTTTTGCATGCCCATTTTTGTTGATTTTTTGGTCTGGAATGGACGAACAGGGTTTGAATTAAAATTTTCTGCCAGGGTTTGGTAAATATTCATGATTTTGAGCCGGAAGGATAACAGGGTTATCAGGTTGGCTACGGCCATGTGTATGGCAACTAGTTACATGTTTTTAGTATGCTTCTTTAAGTGTGTGTATCTCAAAATGTTGGTGGTCAACCTTATACAAATTTTAGTGCAAAGACATGACCATTTGTTCCTCTGTCTGTAGTGAAAAGCATTCAGCCCAACGAAAATTTGGCGAAAATTTGGAGGTGGGCAAAGAATTAACATTGAAGTCAATGGGGAAATTAATGGTGGTCTGCCTCCTGTATCGGATTGTAACTTCATAGATTATGACCCTTGATTGTAAGAAAAATCACGTTTTTAGCTTGTGAACACTGTAGAGGTCACAAATTTTTTTATCCGATTTGGTTTAAACTTGAAATGTATGTTTATAACCCACAGATCTCGGTTCCTTTCGATATTCGCGCATGTCGGACTATAACTTCCTGAATTATGGCCCCTGATGTCGGACTATAACTTCCTGAATTATGGCCCCTGATTGTACCCCATAGACCCCATAGAAGTCACAATTTTTATCCGATTTAAAAAAACCGTTACAATATATCACCGTTACACCCTAAGGATGGCGTTACACCCTAAGGATGGTTGAGTTCGAATTTCGTAAAAATCGGACCGAAACTGACAGACCCTCTGGAGGTCACAATTTTCATCTCATGTTAATAACCCACAGATCTAGATTCCTGTCGATATTTGCGCATATCGGACCATGACATCCTGAATTGTGGCCCCTGATTGTACGAAAAATCGCGTTTTTAGTTTGTGTACCTCATAGAGGTCACAATTTTTATCCGATTTAAAAAAACGTTCGAATATATCACCGTTACACCCTAAGGGTGGTTGAGTTCGAATTTCATGAAAATCAGCCCAAAACTTCCGGACAAAAGTGTAAATATCTGGTATATCAAAGGTTTCGACCCTCTAGAGACCACAATTTTGATCCGATTTTGATGAAACTTGAAATGCAAGTTTACAACCCAAAGATATCCGTTCCTATCAATATTCGCGTATATCGGGTCGTAACTTCCTGAATTATGGCCTCTGATTGTACGCAAAATCGCGTTTTTAGCTTGTGGTCCCTCTAGAGGTCACAATTATTATTCGATTAAAAGAAACGTTCGAATATATCACCGTTACACCGTAATGATTGTTGAGTTCGAATTTCATGAAAATCGAGCCAAAACTGCCGGACAAAATGGCCGCCCCTCGTACGCAAATAGTGTAAATATCTGGTAAATCAAGGTTGTGGACCCTCTAGAGGTCACAATTTTGATCCGATTTCGATGAAACTTGAAATACATTGTTATAACCTAAAGATCTTGGTTCCTGTCGATATTCGCGCATATTGGATCGTAACTTCCTGAATTATGACCCTGTTGAGGTCACAATTTTTATCCGATTTAAAAGAAAAACAACGCGTGAATATATCACCATTACACACTAAGATCTTGGTTCTCGCGGATACCCGAAGTGACTTCCTGGATTATGGCCCCTGATTGTTCGAAAAATCGCATTTTTAGCTTGCGGATTCTCTAGATGTCACAATTTTTTTTCCAATTTTATAAACCATTCCACCATAATGAAGGTTGAATTCGTATTTCGGGAAAATCGAAATGAAACTGCAATAGCCGCTCTTTGTACGTAAATTGTGTAGAAGTGTGTAATACGAAGGTTGTGGACCTATAGAGGTCACAATTTGATGAAACTTAAAACATATCTTTATATCCCAAAGATCTCTGTCCCTTTTGATATTTGCACATTTCAGGCAGTAACTTTATGTATTATTGCCCCTGATTGTACAAAAAAATCACATTTGTTTTTAGCTTGTTCTCTATCCATTTCTTGCAAAATGTGGGTGTATCCTGCCTGGTAGCCGCTGGTATATTTTTGAGTAAATTGAATGACGACAGCAATTTGATTGGCCACACGCTAGTAATTCCATAATGCAAAGTGGTATCAGGTGTGTTAAAGGCTTACAGTTTCCGTGTGACTTCTGAACGTAATGTCGCCACCCTAGCAAGAAATCCTTGGGTGACAGTACTGACAGCGGGGAACAGTTATTCTTAAAATTGTATTGTTTCTGGTATATTTATGAAGCTCTTATGGGACACCAGTGCAGGACGCAGGGTATTTTGTTGCACGAGGGATGGTCTCTCCGCCCTAAACATTGTATTCTGGTTATTTCATGGAGCACCTATATAGTACACCAGTGGTGGACGCAGATTATTTGGTTATAGGTAGGGGGATTTCCACAACCCCAGAATTTAGAAAAATCGGGATTTCAATGTCGTGATTTGTGATGCATATGTAACACGTTCGGTTTATAACAGACGACCAACATAAACTTTGTATACATTGTGGAAGAAACAATAGCACTAGACAAAAGTAGATAAAGTACAAAAGTACAAATACGTCTATGTTTGCCGTAGATAAATACATAAATAAATAAAAATAATCCCGATTAAAAAAAAGAAATAAAAAAAACCCCCCAAAACCCCCCCAAAACAATCACTTACATTAAGGTAGAATAATAGATTACCAAGACAATGGATTATAAATAATATGCGGTAAAATGCAACAACAGAGTTATCTCACCTTTATACCTCTCGGTATTAACTGACAAAAGCACAATGCTAATTGGTTTTTCTAACCGGACGTATTATATATATTATAGGATAGAGAATATAATGTGAAATAGATTCAAAAAGGGATAAAAGGATTTTAACGTTAATCAACTATTTAATTGAAAAGGAACGATGCGGATTGAAATAAAATTTAACGATGATGAACTATTTGTAATTAGTAATCCGAATGACTTGACACTGACTCCTCAGGCCGTCCATCCGGCACCACCGACATGGGAAAACTCGAAACCTCGAGGACCTTTCTTGGCGCAATACATGGATCGAAACTGAGGCCCCCTGGTTAGCGAATCAGCGCCCTATTCACTGAGCCACTATCGCTCCCTTTACTGAACGAAGTCTCTGTCACAATCAAGACAGTTTCGCCATAGAAATATATACAGACGGAATGTCCACCCGATGACGTTGTGTTATGTTATGCAGCGCCTGCGCGAAGAGGGGTTTGCACAAGTGACATCTTTCATAAGTCCTGCATTCATTGAGTAATGGAAGAGGCCAGTTATTTTCTGAAATTATACGAGGTGATCGAGCTAAGGTTATCAATGAAAAGATTACCCATTTGCTCTTAAAACTCAAATACTCGATCTTAATTTCATCGAGGAGTATCAGATATCATATAATGATATTTTTAATGTATTATAATGTAAATATTGTGCCGTTCGTAACTTTTCTCTGTGTCGCCATATTTATAAAATAGGCCTAAAAACTCTTGTTTTGTTTTTCTTTCTTTTTTTATGTGTGTCACTATATAACTAATTTCTCCTGTTTATTTATTGTGCTAGGAATTCTTCTCGGAATTTTGTTGAGTCGGTACCTCGGGTTATCATATGAGGGTGGGACAATAGTCGAGGTTTTGGCGCAGTGAGGACGAGCAAAAAAAAAAAAATCCGTAGCGGCGTACCTGTTTTGATTCAAGAAGTAGGTAATTTGTCAATAAAAAATAGACGAATTGATATTAACCATTGAGCGGTTGAGCCAATACTCATACATTGTTCAATAAAATTCAGTAATTTTTTTTTCATTTTATGATTGTGTATATTAGAATGTTAAGAGACCGATCTCGCACAGCATTTTCCAAAAGGCCTACAAATGGTCAGCTGTCAAAATAAAGTGAGCATATATGCAGGCAGAATATCTCACAGCATTTGTGAAGATTTTTAAAAATACAAAAATACTAGGCCCAATGATATAGGCCTACATATTGCTAAGAAAATGACCAGCTGCATTTTGTGAAGATTTGTAAATTTAAAATAATATAGGCCTACTATAAATGAAAATCCTCTAATCACCGGAAATGGTCAAGAAAGGTATTCAAAATTTGACAAAATTCTGAAAAATGGGTGCCTGTGCGCCAATTGCGATGTATCAATTGGTTGTTTACCGAGTACTTAAAGTATTATGTCGTATGATAACCACGTGAATTATCTACAAGATGGTGCTATAGCAACAAGATTTTATTGCCTACTAAAAAATTTATGGGACTCTGAAAAGTAAAGTTAAGTTTAAAACCATGTTTCTCGGAAAAGCCGCCAATGATTTTTTTCAAACTTGCTCAATATAGATTCTACTGGGTAGTGTATTGTGTGAAACCCTTGTACAATTTTTCTAATTGTCATGGGTAGCCGGAAAAAGATATCAAAAATTGAAAACAGCGTATTTTTACGAGTTGGAGCAGGTATATGGGTTAATATCTGAGTTTGTCATATATCTGGCGATCGTGTGACGCCTTGGCGACGGTGAAAGCCTTCAGCATTGCGCGCAATTCTAGTTATTTTTTTTTATTGGGGGAAGCTAGATCTCAGCAACTATAAGAGATAGAGGTTTGAAATTTGATTTTCTGTCGGAAAAGTGGTGTGCAGCTACTGCTTAAAGCTATTTCGAAATTTGTGCGCATAGCGAAAATGCGTCAAATCTTTAACGTGCACGAAAATTGAAAATCGGCCATTATTCTCTTAATTCTCAATGAATTCTTCAGATATTTACATTTTTGGATAGCTGGAG